AAAGCAGAGTTTGCAAAGGCAACCAAAGAGTTTTTTACGGGAATGAAGTGGTGGGAATGATTTTCTGCAACTTGGGGGTTTGGCCAAGTCAATCTTGTTGTCCTGAATCCGCTTGAGCATTTCATTGTGAAGACAAAACTGAAGGGAAAATTGTGATAGGAAGAACAAGCTCAGGGATTTTTGAAGGAGGGGAGTTGGCAGTAGTGGCCTGCAGAGCATCACCAGGGATGAGGGGATTTGTCATGGTGATTGTCTATGGCGTTCCCGACTTCAGGATGTATTGACTGCAATTTGTGATAGGAGCAAACCCAAGTATGGTAAAAAGTGGGAATGAAGTTTGATTTATGATTAGGGGTATTCTGTCCCATTACTTTTGGACCCTTAACAAGTGGGAGGCACATATGCAAACTGTTGTAATTTCCTACAAACCGTTCACCTGATTTGGATGTAAATACCCTCAAATTAAAGCTGACAGTCTGCAGTTTTTAAAGCACATCTTGTTTGTTTCATTTTAAAAATCCATTTGGGTGGTGTATAGAGCCAAAAATGTTAGAGAATTGTGTCGCTGTCCCAATATTTATGGACCTGACTGTAATAGGAGAAGGGAAGGGGATGGGGGGGAGGGGGATTTGTGATAGAGAGGGGATGGGGGGGGATTTGTGATAGGAGAGGGGATTGGGGAGGTGGGATTTGTGCTAAGAGGGGGATTGTACGAGGAGAGATGGGGGGGGGGGGGTTGTGATAGGAGATGGTATTGGGGGGGATTTGTGATAGGAGAGGGGATTGGGGAGGTGGAAATGTGTGCTAAGAGGGAGGATTGTAGGAGGTAGATTGGGGGAGGATTTGGATAGGAGAGGGGGGGGATTTTGTGATAGGAGAGGGGATTGGGGAGGTGGGAATTTGTGCTAAGAGGGAGGATTGTACTAGGAGGAGGGATTGGGGTGGGGGGAGGATTTGTGCCTGGAGAGGGGATGGGGGGGGGATTTTGTGTTAGGAGGGGGGATTTGGGGGAGAGTATTTGTGCTAGCATGGAAAATTTGAGGTAAAAGAGGATGTGTGCTAGGAGGGGTGAAGTAAAACTACAGTTAAAGTCGTTGGTTTAGCCTAAGGCACACAATAGTCTGGCACCAGCCCTGGTGGTGTGAATGTAATAGGTTGTAGTGGAGAGGATGACATCTTGGGGATTGCTTTGAATGGTCCTTTATGGTGTTATATACTCACCACCCTACCAGATATACCAATGTTATATAAACAGAAGTTATTTATGAGGGTTATTTGTGAATGGTGCTGTCAGCCTTGGGATTGTGTCATTTCCTGTCATAGGGTATCTAGATTTGGGCTTCTTGCTTCTATGGGAAAGCGGTAAAGGCCATACAGGAGAGATATAGTTACTACTTAGCGTGGATGAGTGAACCTTGGTGGGATCCAAACATGGGAATGGAGGAAAGAGCTGAATAGTCACTAGTGGGAGGGGTCATAATTAAAGGTATGCACCCCACTGCCATAACCACAGCTGTGTATACTGTATATTGAGTGTTTGCTGGCCTTCCTAATAACCATCTTTGCTGTATGTGAAAGCCGCTCTGTTGCTGGACTATTTAGGTTTCATGCTGTCATAGTCTGCCCCCAGGGACCGGAAGAACCCCCCCCCTTCCCCTATCCCCCCCCCCCCTCCCCAGTGACCTTCCACTACCCCCCCCCCCCCCCCAGTGATAGAGAGACACTCTCTTCACAACTCCGAACTTCACCGAAACAAAAGTCAGGCTCTACATACACCATCAAGCGGTCTCTCTGGGATCCCACATGGTTCCCACAGTGCCACGTGTCAGTCCCTTCTTTCATCCCTTCTTCTGGGGGGAGGTTCTTCCCACTTGAAAAATGCCACCCTAGGCAAGTGCCTTGTGGTAAATACGCCCCTGACTATATAGATACAGTGCATAAAGTGTAAAGACACCATCTTCAGTAAAGCAAGTTTTGTTTATTCAACAATGTCTGGTTTGGTCATTGGATGAGAAAGGAAAGTGTGCTCCTGCAGTAAATTCTAACAGGGAATGAAGTGTAATGGAATGGTGATGGTCAAGTGAGTAGGAGAGTAACATCTATGCAAGGAAGGAAGAGCAGCCAGTTTGTGAGGGGGAGCAGTGGTGGCCGGTGACAGAAGTTCTGTTAATGGGGTGGATTGATGCTTGTTTAGTCTGCCTTTCTGAGCAGTAGGGACCCTATCTCAGGGCACGCTGCAGAGCTTCCCAGGGACTGGGCCTGGACCACGAATGTGCCAAGTATATGGTGGATTCCTTACATGCCTTCAGGTGGAAGCATGTGAAGTGTATTGCATGTAAGTACTGGTGGAGGATAATTCGTGTTCAGAACTATGTCCTTCAGAATTACTGTAGTAAATGCTGGGAGAGGTGTCATCGAAGGGAGTAAAGATAAGCTCGTTCCAGTGTGGAGCCCGGTGAGGTGGTCTGGTTATTGGCCAGTAAATTCATACATCATTCAAGCAAACAAATAAATTCTGTTTGACAGCATGTAGTTCCCTGGTGCTGTCAGCACTTGGCTTAGTCAGCAGAATACATTGTATGACAGGAATTCACTATGAAGAAAGGAACAAAAGATCAGCACCTGAACCAGACTGGAAACCAGTACATGGCCAAGAGCATGACCAAGTGTGAGGACAGAAGCATTATCAGCATGTGGTCAGGTGATGTAAGTGCTTTGTGATTGGAAGATGCACAAATGTTTGGGACTTCATGTGGCTAAAGTTTGGCTGGAATTCAGGTCATAATGATACCATGGAAGCTTCCCACCCACATCCCGATCCAACCCCTGAGGGCTTTGACACCAGCCTTTGTTTCCAGATGTTGAAAGGGTTTGCCCTGTGTCATTATGGGAGCCAGTGACAGGAGTAGGGACAGTGGCAGGGATTTTGACAAGAAAGTGACTGCTGGGTGTAGGATCTCCTAAGCTTGCACATCATGAAAGGGGGTAGCGTGGGCACAGTTTGGCATTTTTGCCCTGGATGCTAGATGACCTTGTCCCAGCACTGATGGGAACGTCATGTTTCCTTGTGTATCCTGATGTTCATTGACATATATGGACATCATATTATAAGTATGGGGACGTACTGCATTTAACAGAGGGGACTGTAGACAGATGCCAACTGTTTGTATTTGTAATGTGAGTTATGGAATTAGTAACCGGAGTTGTTGGCGTTAACTGTGACCGCTGGTGCGTTGGCCTTGGGATTATGTCATTTCCTGTCAGAGGGTAAATAGATGGAAGGAATCGGCACCTTTTGGACTTTTGGTTTAATGGAAAACATGTGACAGCCCATACCATAGAGATGTAGTCACCCTCAGCACGGTGGAGTAACCCTTGGTGGGACCCAAACATGAGACTGGAGGAAGAAGCTGAATCGTTACTAGTGGGAGGTGTCATAATTCAGTGGTACACCACTGCCATAGGCAAAGCCATAGCTTATGTTCCCAGTAGAATACTGAATGTTAAGTGTTTGTTAATAAAGAAACCTTCTAAATAACCATCAATATGTAAAAAACTACTCTGTTGCTGGACTGTATTGATACCACTGCATAAAATGTAAAGATGCCATTTTCAGTAAAGCCTGGTCTGATCACTTGATGAGAAGAGAATGAGTGTGCACTCCTGCAGTGAATGCTAATGGGGAATGAACATCTATGCAAGGAAAGGAGGAGCAGCCAGTTCAGGAGATGGAGCGGTGGTGGCCAGTGATGGAAGTCTGTCACAGGGGTAGATTGATGCCTGTTTAATCTGCCCTTCTCAGTGGTAGGGACCCTATCTTAGGGGCCGCTGTGGAGTTTCCCAGGGGCTGTGCATGGACTGTGAATGCGCGAGGCCTCGAATTATACAGTGGCTTCTCTTTATGCCTTCGGGCTGAAGCAAGTGAAGTGTAATGCATGTAAGGACTGGTGGAGGTTAATCAGAGTTCAGCACTATTACCTTCAAAATGACTCTGTAATCCATGCCGGGACAGGTGTTACTGGTGGGTGAGAAGATGTGACCCTTCCGGTGTGGGGCCTGGTGAGGTGGTCTGGGTATTGACCACTAAGAGATGTTCTCTCATACATCAAGCAAACCAATACATTCATGTTCTCCCTGTGCCTGCGTGGGTTTCCTCCAGGTACTCCGGTTTCCTTCTGCACTCCAAAGACACGCTGGGAGGTTAATTGGCTCTTGTCTAAAATATGGCCCTAGTATGTGTATGTATGAATGTGAATTAGGGACCTTAGATTGTACACCCCTTGAGGGTTAGTGACTGATTGTGAATGTACAATATATATGTAAAGCGCTGAGTAAATTGATGGTGCTATACAGTATAAGTACCTGTAATAAATAACTATTAGCCGCCCGGCCAATGGCCGAATGGCGGCCGGCAAATCCCAATCAAGCAGGTCACATGACAGTTGTATACAATGGATGGCTTCATTCATGCCATCCATTGTATACTAGTGTCTAGCTGTGAATGGCCACAGCGATCACATGCACATGTCATGTGATTAGCTGTGGCCAAATCACAGCTATGGCGGCCCCCCAAAAAAAAAAACAACAACCCTGAATGAATCGATGTCATTCAGGTAAATGCTTGCTTATAGCAAAGTAATTCTTTGCTATAAGCAAATTGTGTAAAAAAAAAAATACTGATCACTTCCCCAAAGTAGTACAATGTTACTATGGTAACATTATCTACATGGTCATAGTGAAATATGAAAAAGAAATCTTAAAAAAAAAAAAAACATTTTTTTTTTCATAATGTCACTAGTCAGTGTCCCTGATCACCACCATGCCAGTTATATGATGACGCTGTACTGCACTGGTGACAGTATGTAAAAAAAAAAATAGTGAAAATAATTGTTTTCATTTTTTCATTTTCTGTAAAATTATGACAAACAAAATACAACTTCAAAAAACTCGCCATTCCTCTTATGAAGTACGTCGGACTGTCTACTTTATCAAAAAGGGGTCATTTGGGGGATATCTGTACTGTTCTGACATTTGGGGGATATCTGTACTGTCCTGACATTTGGGGATATCTGTACTGTTCTGACATTTGGGGTATATCTGTCTGTCCTGACATTTGGGGGATATCTGTACTGTCCTGACATTTGGGGGATATCTGTACTGTTCTGACATTTGGGGGATATCTGTCCTGTCCTGACAAAAATATCTGTACTGTTCTGACATTTGGGGATATCTGTACTGTAAAATGACAAAAAAAATATCTGTACCTTCCTGACATTTGGGGGATGTCTGTCCTGTCCTGACAGGGGGTCATGGGGGGGATATCTGTACTGTCCTGACATTTGGGGGATATCTGTACTTTTCTGACATTTGGGGGATATCTGTACTGTTCTGACATTCTTGGACCTCAAGAAATTAGATTGGCCGTCAGTACTTCAGGATTGATCAATATTCAGATCTATACCATAGTTTGTGAACTCTATAACTTTCCTACAAACTAAAAAAATACATCCTAATTTGGGTTATTTTTCACCAAAGACATGTAGCAGAATACATCTCGGCCTAAATTTATGAAGAACAATTATTTATTTGTAAACTTTTATAACAGAAACAAAGAAAAACATGTTTTTTTTTCAAAATTTTCGGTCTTTTTTTTGTTAATTTAGCAAAAAATAAAAATCCCGGCGGTGATTAAATACCACCAAAAGAAAGCTCTAGTTATGTGAAGAAAATGATAAAATTTTAGTTTGGGTACAATGTTGTATGACCGCGCAATTGTCATTCAAAGTGTGAGAGCGCTGAAACCTGAAAAATGGCCTGGGCAGGAAGGGGTAAAAAGTGCCCGGTATGGAAGTTAATAAGAAAATACATTTCTGACAGCATGCTTGCTGTGCTCAGCATCCTCCCTTCTCTATTCCTCTCTTCCCCTCTCAATCATCCTTACCCTCTCCTCTCAATTCTTCCTATCTCTTTTCCTCTCTCCCACTCTCAGTTCCATCCTTTCCTCTCTCCTCTTCACTTTTCCTATATCTTTTCTTCATTTTCCCTCTCTCAATTCCATCCTTTTTCCTCTCCTCTCCATTCTTCCTATTCTCTTATCTCCTTTCCTATCTCTTTCTCCTTTCCTTATTCTCTCTTACCTCTTTTCTGTTTCTTTCCTCTTCATTTCTCTCCCCAGCCCCTTCACCTCTCTTTCTCCTCTTTTTACCTCTCCACTCCATCTAGCCCTCCTTTCCTAACTGTTAGAAATTCTATTCTACAGAACTGACTGTGCACAGACCACATGTTTTCTGCTTCACTACAAGCAAGGAAATGGGAAACTTTATTCAGAGTAAAGACATCGGGGTTGATTCACTAAAACTGGAGAGTGCAAATCTGGTGCAGCTGTGCACGGTAGCCAATCGCCTTGTTCAATTAAGCTTTGACAAAAAAAAACTGGAAGGTGATGGCGTCTATGCAGAGCTGCTCCAGAGTTTGCACTCTCTAGTTTTAGTAAATCAACCCCAGAGTATACCAGAGATGCAGTTACAAACTTAAAACGCTGCCATCTATTGGTTGAAAAATATATCTCTAATGAATAGTGATGTAGTTGCACAAAATACATAAACACTGTATTCCAGCACCCTCACTCAACAACTACTCCTTATATTAGTCCCATTCAGATCTCGGTTCTATAAATCTGTTCTTTGTCAGCGAGCAGTTTTAGGTAGCTCTGAAAGTGTCCCATGTCTGCAGTTCACTAAGAGATGTCATCTCTTCATCAGCAGCTCTGATCCAACTTTGTTTCTCCTGGGTTGGAAGTCTTTGCATCTGATCCCATGAATCTGGCTCTGGTTTTAATTCTACATGAGCAACATAGGACAAACGTTTGGCTGGGATGCCTTTTATTACTTCTGGTGGATTTCCTGATTAAAGCCTCTCGTGGCCTGGTTTATTCTTTTACAGTAATTGAATTGTCTGTGTTAATTTTATTTCTGTGTCACTTTGTTGTTTATCTTCATTTGACACTGATGTGGAATTTCCAGTTTTTTTTCAGTTTGAAACATTTGTGTTCATGAAATGTTGAACACACTGCAGTTTCATCGACAATTGCACTTCTACTGATGGTTACCTAGTTTGTGTCTTGGTGTAGAATTCTGTATCCCTTTTGAGATTCACTGTACCCTGCAAGTACACCTTTCTTTTGGGATGTGCATATAGGTTTTGCTTCCCAAAAGTTTTAGATGGTTTATATTTCATAGCTCATATAGAGTTTTCTCAGTCTGATTTTTTTGGTAGTCCTTTTTTGGAGATGGCATGCGGTCATAATTGCCTCCCCAGTATGTGGTTGGCATATCTGCATCCAACAGCATGGTTCTTCCACTCTCACATAGAGTACAGCTCATTCCTTCTGCAACCCTGCTTTTTGTTCTGGGTTGTATGGTACAGTAGTTTAAAATATTATGCCATGCTTTCTGAGAATCGTCTGTGTATTATCACCTGTATATTGAGCTCCATTGTCTGTGCGCATTACATTCTGCAATTTGCCAAATTTGTTGCTTACGTGATCCAAATGTTGTTCAAGTTTCTCTGGCACTTTCTTACATTTTTTCTTTTTATACAGCTGGTGCATTTCATTGTTTGATCACATGGACTAATTTTTATTCCACTTGCATAGTCATTCTCAGTTAATTTTTTTATTATGTCAGCACTTTTGTGCCCAATCTGTCTGTGCCATGTGTGAATGCAGTTTGAATTTTTTTCCTCCTTGGTAGTATTAACCATCTCACTGTAATGTTAGCCTTTTCAAGCAAGATATCTCTTTTTGATGGCACAACTAATCTTGGCAGCTCACTACATTGCTTTGTTTTTGTGAGCTTCTTCACTGATAAAAGATTAGTTTCTAGAGCAGGGACACTCTGGGAAATAGGACAGTAAAGAAAACATCTCCTATTCCTTCTGATTCCATTATTTGCCCATTAGCTATGGTGATTTTTTTTCTGTTTTTACTCTGGTCAAGGTGAATAAACACACCATGCCTGTGTAGCACCACCCCCTTAGGAGTTGCAAGAGATTTGGGTCCCCCTATAGCCCTGCACAGCCAGGCAATACACCTTTCCTTCACTCAGACTTGCAGTAGGAGACAGTAACCAGTCCTTGAGCTTTGTTTTGAAGTTTTTTTTTACTGAAGGGTTTAGAACTTGGATGGGGTAAAGGGGTGTATGGGATTCCCAAGGAATGGCAACTGAGGACAAACTCCTTAGCAACTATGTACAAGTCTTTACAGCAAAGTTTCTCTTCTGGAGAGCTAGCTAGCATCTCCTGTAGTACCACCCCAGATGTCTCCTCTCCTCATCCAGCTGTACTGGATGAATCCCTGGGCAGGAGATCCACTGCCTGCCACTGCAGTGTGAAACAGTCCCGGGTAAGATAGCAAATCCAGTTCCCCACTACAGTGCTCCTTCCCCCTTACTGGCTCAGGGGGTGCAGGTTTACTCACTTGGTCCCTCTTCTGTGTTGTCGGTGGATACTACCAGGCCTTCTGCTGGGCCACTCCTTCCCTGCCACACAGGTGGTTCTCTTTCAGGGGGCCAGTGAAGTCCAATGTTTTCCACCTTCCAAGGTCCTCTGTCTGCAGGTGAGCCCCTTTCCATCTGGGCCTCCTCACAGGCTCCTGCCCCCAGCCTCACATCCTTCCTCTCTCTCTTCCACCTGAACTCTCTCTACTGCTGATCAGGCTCAATCACATTAAAGGGTTGCCCTGGCCCCTTGTCAAGCTTCCTCTTGGGGATTAGCCAGGATCGCCTAAGAGTACAAACCAGCCACTTCTCAGATCCACCCATTGCTTCTAGACCTTTCCCCAAAGATCTGGAGCAGGGGGGAATTCCAAAAGGCTGGTCTGCAGAGCCTCTCAGCTCCTGACCCAAATTTAACCTTCTGACTATTGCACCTGTACAGCTACTCAGCCCCTGACTGTCAATTTAGGATCTAGCTCCCCCTAACTACCTAGGAGGGCGCTACACCTGCAAAGATGAGGTCCAACTTTTGGATTGCAAAACATATTCATTATCTAAAGAAAAATAGTTTTTCTTACTTCACACTTTTGGCCTTTTGCAGTTTAGTTCGATTTTGCATTCCAGCTTTCCAGATTCTGCAATCTGCTTTTTAAAGTACCTTGTTTTTTGCACACGTAGCAATCAAGTGTTTTCTTGTTGCATGTTACTGTTTTTTTTATTTTTATTTTTCATCTTTAAAGCAGACCTTGCCACAGAAGCACCGTTACTATTAATGCTGTTTTGCACTTATATTCATCCACCAGCTTGCCCTTACACATTCCATTGTCCATTCATTATTTGGATATGCATAAAGTGCTGTGACAAGCGTTTTCATAACTTTTCTGGTAAACCTCTAAAAGTGATAGTGCTGTGACATGAAAATCTTTATTTCTTCTCCTATAACTCACAGGCGTTAAACCATTTCCATGGTGTTCCTTATGTAATCCTGCATATCCTGGCTTTTCATCAGCTTGGTTTGGTATAATCAAAAACAGTTTATTGCTGAGATTAGCTCTTTCATGCAGCTTTTGTAATCCTTCCCACATTTCTTTAGCAGTTTCATCTTGGCGTAGAAGTTGATCAAATCATACATATATTTAAGAGACATTGTATTCTGAGCTTTCTGATCTTTCTCTTTCCACTCCTCCTGAAGGGTGTTATGGCCTGACTTACTTTATACATTTTCACATACAGTCATGGCCAAAAATATTGTCCCCTCCTGCATTTGTCAGATAATGCACTACTTCGCACAGAAAATTGTTGCAATTACAAATGTTTTGGCATTCTAGGAGATAGCTGTGGGGGATGGAGTGGTAGGAAGAGTGGAGGAGGTTGGCAAGTTAGCAGGGGGTGGGGTAGGCTTCCCTGAAGAGATGGGTTTTCAGGGTGCGCCTAAAGGAGAGGAGAGTAGGTGATAATCTGATGGGTTGGGGCAGGGAGTTCCAGAAGATGGGTGACACCCTGGAGAAGTCCTGTAGGCGGGCATGGGAGGAGGAGACCAGGGAACTAGAGAGAAGGAGGTCTTGTGAGGAGCGGAGTGTGCGTGTTGGGCGGTACTTGGATATTAGGTCAGTGATGTAGTTCGGGGCAGTGTGGTGGACGGCTTTGTACGTCAGCGTTAGGATTTTGAATTTGCGTAATCGGAAGCCAGTGGAGGGATTGGCAGAGGGGGGTGGCGGAGATGGAGCGGTTCTCATGTTTCTTTTGTTTGTATTGGTATGATACAAAAAGCCAAGAAAAAGCCAAATCTGACACATTCCACGCAAAACCCCAAAAATGGGCTGGACAACATCAATTTAATATTTGTTAGCACGTCCCTTGGAAAAAAATAACAAATTAATGGCTTCCTGTAACCATCAATTAGT